CCTTGGAACAAAAGGAGGGTACAAACTCTCCGGGAAAACCCCAAGAACAACAAGTAATAGCGACCCACGCTATGACTTACCATGAACCCTGCCCCTACAAGCACATATAATGGAAACTTCCTAAATGCAACCGATGCAGCTTCCACCACCACGGTCCTTGCTCTGATCTTCAATGAACCAAGTGTAATAAGAAGGGACATACAGCCCGCTATTGCAAAGGGCCAACCCCCCATCCGTCCCCACTACTAATACCGGGGTAAGCCGCGCCTGCTTTGAGTGCGGAGACACGGGGCACTACCGCAGGGACTGCCCAAAGGCAAACAACCGGAATACCGGCGTAAGGGGACGAGTTTTCGCAATGGGACAAGATGAAGCCATTGCGGACCCTACTGTTGTTACAGGTACGTTTCTTCTCGATAAATCGTATGCATGCATTTTGTTTGATAGTGGAGCGGAAAGGAGTTTTGTGAGTCAGGACTTTAAAGGCCTGCTAAAATCAATACCACAATCATTAAGTGAACCATTCATAGTAGAAATGGCCAACGGGAAAACCAAAGGCACTAAGGAGATATACTTAAACTGCACCCTAACTTTAAACGATAATCCCTTTTCAATCAACCTCATGCCAGTCTCGATTAAGAGTTTCGATGTCATCATTGGCATGGATTGGCTGAGTTCTCATCATGCGGACATTCTATGTTACGATAAGGTCGTTCGCCTTAATCTGCCAACCGGCGAAACTTTCATTGTATTGGGCGACAAACCAAGTACCACTCTTCGTATCATCTCAAGTATCCAAGCTCGGAAATGCCTACGCAAGGAGTGTCACGCGTTCTTGGCACATGTTGTAGATGTGAAACGCGAAGTCCAAGACATCAAGAGTGTGCCCGACGTACGCGATTTTCCCGATGTTTTTTCCCGAGGACCTTCCGGGAATACCACTCGCGAGACAAGTTGAGTTCCGAATCGATCTAGTTCCTGGAGCTACCCCAGTAGCCAAAGCACCCTATCGATTAGCCCCGGCAAAGATGCAAGAGCTATCCAGCCAACTGAATGAACTACTTAGAAAAGGATTCATCATGACGAGCTTCTCGCCATGGGGAGCACCCGTACTGTTCGTGAAAAAAAGAAGGATGGATCATTCAGAATGTGCATCGACTACCGAGAACTCAACAAACTTACCATCAAGAACCGATACCCCCTACCCCGAATCGATGACTTATTCGACCAACTCCAAGGAGCCAACTACTTTTCTAAGATCGATCTGAGGTCGGGATATCACCAGCTGCGAGTCCTGGAGAGTGATATTCCCAAGACGGCCTTCCGAAACACGATACGGACATTACGAGTTCGTAGTGATGCCGTTCGGACTAACCAATGCCCCGGCCGTGTTCATGGATCTAATGAATCGGTATGTCGTCCATTCTTGGATAAATTCGTGATAGTATTCATAGACGACATACTCATTTATTCAAAGAATAAAGAAGAGCATGGTCAACATCTGAGGCAAGTTTTAGAGACGTTACGGACTGAGAGACTATATGCAAAATTCTCAAAATGTGAATTTTGGATTAGAAAGGTGGACTTCCTCGTCACGTGGTCAGCAAGGAAGGAATCCACGTGGATCCATCAAAAATCAAGGCTATCAAGAACTGGTCTGCGCCAACTACACCAACAGAAATTCGCCAATTTCTAGGTCTTGCTGGTTATTACCGAAGGTTCATCCAGAATTTCTCCAGCATCGCAAAGCCTCTTACCACCTTAACCCAGAAAGGTGCGACCTACGATTGGGGAGAAAAGCAAGATGCTGCATTTCAGACTTTGAAACAGGCCCTTTGCAGTGCGCCCATCCTTTCTCTCCCAGAAGGGACCGAAGATTTTGTGGTGTATTGCGACGCTTCGAAGCAAGGGCTGGGCTGTGTACTAATGCAGAGGGGAAAGGTTATTGCATATGCCTCACGACAACTGAAAACGCATGAGGTCAATTACACCACTCATGATTTAGAACTTGGGGCGGTGGTCTTCGCTCTTAAAATCTGGAGACACTACCTATATGGTACCAAATGCACTATCTTTACAGACCACAAGAGCCTACAACACATCTTCGACTAGAAGGAGTTGAACATGAGACAGCGATGTTGGGTCGAATTGCTCAATGACTACGAATGTGAGATTCGCTATCATCCAGGAAAGGCTAACGTCGTGGCAGATGCCCTTAGTCGTAAGGAGTACTCTGGCCGAAGTGTGAAGTCATTAGCCATGTCAATCCATTCGCACCTGTCGACACATGTCAAGGAAGCTCAAATAGAGGCCCTGAAACCCGAAAACGTGACAGGTGAGACCCTTAGGGGAATGGACAAGAATTTAGAAATCAAGAGTGACGGAGCACGCTACCTCATGAACCGAATATGGACGCCCAAGTTTGGTGGACTTAGAGAGGTAGTTATGAGCGAGGCACACAAGACTCCATACTCCATACACCCCGGGTCAGACAAGATGTATCAAGATCTCAAACAACTCTACTGGTGGCCAAACATGAAAGCAGAGATCGCTACATATGTGAGCAAGTGTTTGACTTGCGCCAAGATCAAAATAGAACACCAGAAAACCTCAGGACTACTCCAACAACCTGAAATTCCTGAGTGGAAATGGGAGCAGATTTCCATGGACTTCATAACGAAACTGCCCAAAACTCAGGGTGGCCAAGATACTATTTGGGTAATCGTCGATAGATTAACCAAGTCCGCTCATTTCCTACCGATCAAGGAAACTGATAAAATGGAAAAGCTATCGAGAATCTACATCCGAGAGATCGTACGACTCCATGGAGTGCCAATGTCTATCATCTCGGATAGAGAGCAGATTCACGTCTAGATTCTGGCAATCATTGCAAAAATCCATGGGAACAAGATTGGACATGAGTACAGCCTATCACCCCCAAACTGACGGACAGAGCGAAAGAACGATCCAAACCTTGGAAGACATGTTGTGAGCATGTGTAATCGACTTTGGTAAAGCATGGGATGTTCACTTACCTTTGGTTGAGTTCTCTTATAACAATAGTTATCATACTAGTATCAATACTGCTCCATTTGAAGCCCTTTACGGCCGTAAGTGCAGATCACCTCTGTGCTGGACGGAAGTGGGCGACACACAACTAGCAAAAGGTCTAGTCCCTGATAGCACCCTCACTGGTCCAGAGATCATCAGAGAAACTACTGAAAAGATCGTGCAAATACGAGAACGACTGAAATCCTCGAGGGATAGGCAAAAGAGCTATGCCGAAAAAAGACGTAAACCCTTGGAATTTCACCTTGGAAGGGCATGATACGCTTTGGAAAGCGTGGGAAGCTAAATCCTAGGTACATTGGACCCTTCGAAATCATTTCAAGGGTTGGTCCAGTAGCCTACAAACTCCGACTTCCAATAGAGCTTAACAAAGTACATCCAGTATTCCACGTATCAAACCTGAAGAAGTGTTTGTCCGACGAAACACTTGTAATTCCACTCGATGAGATCGAACTAAATGAAAATCTTAACTTTGTGGAAGAACCCGTCGAGATCATGGATAGGGAAGTTAAACGAACTAAACAGAGTCGCATTCCAATAGTAAAGGTCCGATGGAATGCTAAGAGGGGACCTGAGTTCACGTGGGAACGAGAAGATCAAATGCAACAGAAGTATCCACATCTCTTCCCCAGCCCCTAAGACTCTTCTTTTGTATTAAAATTTCGGGACGAAATTCCCTCTAACGGGGGGATGATGTAACAACCCGCTATTTCAAGTCAGTAAAAATCGAGTCCTGTAACCTCTTTGAGAAAGGAATTAGAATATCATCGAAAAATGAAGTATTCAAAAACTCTATTTGGAGTACACTATGTGGTAGTTATCGTCTTAAGGTTTCCAAACATATAAATAACACAAAAATCCGAGTTATAACGAAGAAGTTATGATCATTCTAAGTTTTACGACAAAAACCGGCAATACGAAGTTGCGTAAAAACGCAAAGTTTCAATAAAACACTTTCCGACCTTAGGTGTCTAAATGAAAGTCGTAGATATCGTTAAACTACAAACATGCATAAAAAGAACGCTCAAATCGGACATCGTATGAATAAGTTATGAATTTTTAAAGAAATTCCTTAATCACGTCATTTTAATAAATAAATAATAAAAATAATTCCGGAATTTGCCAACGGAATCTAAATGAAAGTTGTAGATCGTAGTCTCACCTTCGCGGGGATATAAAGAACGTCAAAAACGGAGTTCGTATGAAGGAGATATGAATTTTCGAAGTTTGATAAATAATTTATATATTTTTTTATTAAAACTTCGGTATTATCCGAAGGGGAGTCAGCGTCCTCATCCGAGGTACGCGCTGCGTACTCCTGTACGCCCCGCGTACCCGAGGAACTTGGCCTCAAACCGTCCACGTCGCCCTATGCGAGGCATCCGACCCGCCCGTCCGACCCGCTGTCCCATCCGACCCGACTGCCTGAGCCGTCCCATCCGAGGCCGAGGCAGTCGAGGCTTCGGTCACGCATGACGTACGCGTACGCGCTGCGTACGA